TTATCTGAAAATCTGGCTGTCGAACGTCCGACTACGTAACGTGTCTATTTAAGTATATGCAAAACTTGTAAATTTGGCCTTATAAAAAGTTGACGAACAACACATGCACATCGCCTGTATGATCAATTGTATGCGTATAGTTATTGTATACGCAAACGTCACGTGAAACTTCATCTCGGTATTGATCGATATGACTTTTTTTCTCGAGGGAAAGCAAGATTTCGAAATCGTCATTAAAATTAAGGACGTTGGAAACGTGACGTTTAATCGTTAAATGTAATTAGGCAATGGGACACGTACTCGAAATATGAGAGAAAAAGAGACGGGTCAACCGCACGATGGATGCGTCGAGTGGTCAGTCATTAACAAGTTTCTTTCTTCTTGTAACGAATCTCAGATGTTAATCTCTTATCACTGCGTAAATCTCCAATGGCGTTACCTCTCTGCACATCTACGTCGCTTGTAACACCGATAAATATTTCAATAAACTCAATATCGCATAAACAATCATACGAAAGTGTTATTATGATAGAGAAGATGATTCGATCGATCTTTGATAATTGATATCGATCGCGTAATGTCGCGTAATTCGTATTGTATTCCGAATTGTAATAAATGTATCGCGCTACTTCCTGAAAGAGTTATTTTACATTTTCCTTACAACTGGGTTTTTTATTCGGTTTAAACGACTCGGAGCAACGCGTGATTATTCGTCAGTTGAAAATCGATTAATTCAGGCGCGCTCTTCGGACTGTGGCACTTAAATCGTAAATCGTTCACTCGCGCTAATAAATTTAACAAGTACATTGCGCTACAAATATCTGAATCTCCGATATTAATAATAATAACGATGATAAAATAACGAGTAATATTATTTAATTATAAGAGTTATAAATTATCAGCACTTGTTGCATTGACTTGGTACTGCTTTCAAAATTTTCCAAAGAAAAAAATTGGCGATAATTTGCAAATGACGTATCCTTCCATCGAATAACTGTGTATTCCGATTTCGCGATGCTTACAATCGATTGAATTGATAAAACTTATGGATGTACGCAATTTGTACGCTCAACAGGATCAACATAGAATATCGCTAATCACAATTAAACTCTGAACATATAAATATCACAGCCAGTTAAACAGCGTAAAATATACAGCACTAACAATGTTATTTACAGGTAATCATTAACGTTAAGATATTTGGATATTCATCGAAGACAGGATCTTGAAGCTCCGAACGCAAGATACTTTTTCGAACGGTAAATGATAATTGCTTATGTACAACAACACGCACACATTGTGTCTACGTTACGATCACACGTTGCTCGTAAGACTATCGTTGTCCACAGCACAGATCCCCAAGGATGTAATTTGTAATTAAGGTACGCCGATGTACACGCACGTACGCATCACCCACGTTACACGCATATAAATTTAGTATAATAATGTAGATAATAATTGTCTAAGTAAGGCTGATTAAACGCATTCTCATATCCCTCCATAACGAGTCTCCCTCTCTCTCTCTTTCTCTTTCTCTCCCTATATATCTTTTATTGCCTGCATTCATTAACCGATCCGTTATTGCAAATTTGCAATTCCAGACAATACGCACGGTATCGAAAAACAATGTGCGCAATTGAAATATTTCTATCTCTTTGATTAAAAAATCTTTTTTATCTTTTTTTAAATTTTGTATTCATTTGAAGGTAATTTTTGATAAAAAGAGGAAATAACATTAAATAAGGGAATAACTTCCCATATAATATTTTCTAGTGAAATATGCATTCATTGGAGAATAAATATTATCGAGCGATCCTCGACAGTGTTTCTCTGAAATAAATACAAATCATTATAACACGCGTGAACGTTGAATTTTGAATGTATTTGTAAGTTTTATTTTTGAAGAACAGCTCTCTCGACAGTAAAACTCTCCAATAAATCTCTCGAAATTAAAAGTGATTCATATTCGAGAACTTCCATGTGCATTTTCAATAATAAAACGCTCATATGTATAATACAGTTGCCGAGAGCTTTCAGGTTCGATTTTTAATTCTTCGCAGTTCTGTATCAAGTTGGATTCGACATAAAGTGTTACGGTACTTTACTGCATAATTACATTTTGAATTGATATGCAGTTATAATGTATATTACAATTAATAATCATAACAATTTACACTGTAAAAAATAAAATGTTAATTTTAACTCAAAGACGTTGAGTAGATTTTCTGAGACATGCAAAAATGTTAAAATTAACATTTTTGTGTTAATGTTAACATTTTTGCATGTCTCAGAAAATCTACTCAACGTCTTTGAGTTAAAATTAACATTTTATTTTTTACAGTGTATATATATATATATAATTGTATATTACAATTAAACTATATATGTATTTTTGTAATCTTAAAAAAATATAACGTTTATCGGTAAAACATCACTTTTTATAACACTGTGTTGTAATATTTTTCGAATGAACCCTTTATTTCTTAGAAATAATTTAAACCGCAAAGGTTGAGTACTTCTCTCTGACGTACTTTCGGCCATCGAATGCACTTTATCTCGATACCGAGCGTCTTGCGTGAATCATTTATCTCCAGACCCTTTTCAGTCCGATCGTTCTCGGAGACGGAGGCGGGGAAATTCGAGTATCTCGTCTATCTCGGGATTGCGCGTACGGGAGTAAATGTAATCTCAACGGTTTATCGAAGTGTCGCCCTAACGTGTTACAAATTCCCCTAATAAATTTACAGAGGTGTTCTAAATCAACGTGGCAGTAGAGTGATGTTCCCCCTCGGCCGCGGAGAGCGCCGTAACTCGAGTGGACGAGATCGCGCGGGACGCACGCCTGTAATCTTTGCAAAGCATTCATATATTTTTTTTTTTTCGTAATAAGAGCACTTAATCGCTATGTGTTTCTCAAATTGAACTATCGGTCGTGATGTTCCCTTTTTTTTTCATACCTTCGTTTTTTTCTACACTTTTTTTCGGGTTACCGCGACTTCGCAGCACGGTGGGAGCTTATCGGGTATTGATACTTCCTAAGGATAATGTCTTACGTGGTAATCATTATTCGGTGAATATCATACAGATGACATGAAAGTCCCGCGAGATTTATGTTGTTCTTCTACTTTCTCGGGTTTATCGCTCCCGAGTTCGAACATTGACACTGGTATGATTTCGACGTAATTATAGAGAGTACCGATAAAATATTTGAATCTTTCTAAATTTTACATTTTTTAAATGTCTTTTTAACATAAGATTTTTAATATCTTCATCTTAATTTGTCATTATTTCAAATTTCGATAAAAGCATTTCAGGGCAATCTGCTTACTCGAGAAATCGACAATAAGTACATTACTCGGAATTATACCAGTCTCAATCAGTCGTTTTTGATAATGAGTCCATTTACTCAGCTTAATTTTGCGACCGACCGGATTACCTTTTTCATTGTTCTCGAAACGATGAAAAAGTAAAAGAAAGAAGGAGCATTGGTTTTTCTCTTCTTTCGTTATCTTCTTCATTTTCATCTATATATGACTCTAGCAAATTTGATTTATTTTTCGACATGCCGGAAATTTCAGATACATCAGGGTATAGAATTGGAAGATGAACGTTAAAAAACATACACGTCTAGTAAGAACTCTACTCCATAATTTATAAATGTTAAAAAAAATCACTGCCGCGTGTTACAGACGTGGGAGGAGAACGAAACGATCTCTTCTCTCTTGTTTTCTCCTTATTCACGAGATTCGATGAATTCGCGCGCTCGTATATCGCGTCCTTCTATCCTGCCTTGTTCGCTGTGGGAGAATGAAGTGTTCGGTTCGATTAACTCGGTACATTATATGAAGATGACGATGTCGCCAATTTTCGTCGGGAACGAAAGATTAGGAGTTTTTCCAAACTCCTTTTTTGATTGAACGAACAAACGATGATCACGGGTGGAAGCGAAAGTCGGAAGCAGTGATGTAGGTAATGGCTTTAGTTGGTCCCGAACATGAGTTAGTAGAGAGTTGTGCAAGAATCGTAATTACTTGTGATCAATATCGCCTGTCCGCCCCTTGAAATTGTTAAATAATAATTTCTGTAAGTCATCAAATCTTAAAATATCGAAAAAAATGTAGATCTCGTTGATGAAAGAAAAAAAAAACGATCAATATCAAAATTATTCTCAACCGATTATTTATTAATAATAATTAACGAGCAGTGTCTTAATTCTGTTCTGTTTTTGCCCACTCGTGTCTACGATTAAGAGTTACTTAGACTCGACATTACTGTAAGGCGTATAAATTTTAATTGATCCAAATTGACGCATCGCCGTCACTGGCGACAGTATATAAGCCCTAATCTGCAACTGAGTAATTATAATCTTTGCACATACCCGCTCCAAGAATCGCGCGTCGAAACGTGTCGATCGTTGCGTCACGGATCTCAGCTTACGGCAATACTGCGCGCGTCGAACGTGATACACACACGCACACACACTCTCTATCTCTCTTCCCCTCTTTCCGTCTCGCTTCATCTGCATCTTAACTAATACGAGCTATCTATTAATTAATCTATACGGTCCTATATTGTACGGATCAATTATATCCAGTGGCAGTTTATTTACAGTGCGGCTCGAGCCGCGGCCCCTTGATATTAGCGTCATCGATTCATAAATGATTTGGCGTTCGCCATCGTTCCAGCCATTTAATTTTACAGATCGATTGCGGTACATTGCGGACGTGACGTCACCGGTCTCACAAAGTCAAAATGAAATTAGAAAATCAAGAAACGCCGAAATTTCTCGGATAAAATTCTTTTTTCTCGGTTAATAGCTATACGACTGAAATCAAATTTCCGAGAGATTACGGTGATGTTAGTTAATTGAGAAAATTGTCGCTTCAACGATCCAACAATTTACGACCCCCTGTGTACGATTTCGCGGACCCCTCTTTCTGCACCGAACAAGCCGCGGGTCGCGGGTCCAGCCGCATAGCTACTTCAACGTCGTCTTCTATTTACAGGAACAGCACGATCATATAATTGAGATATTTCGCGCTAGTGGTACCGTTGAGCTTCGTGCCGCCGCCGTTTTCCTCGTCGTTCTCGCTGGCAGTGTCGCCCTTTATCTCGACGATGGTGTCGAGTCGCTCCATCGCACCCCTCTGGGGATGATAATTGCCCGAGCTCTCGCTCTCGGGGGTCTCGTCGGAGTCAACGTCGATTGTCCGATCGTTCACTTGAATCTTCACCACGGTGTCCACGGGGTACTTGCCGTTACCTTCGTCGCTGGAGCCGGATCTGCCAGTGCTCGATGTGACTCCAGCTTCCCGCTCGCAACGCGGGCATACCTGACCGTTGGACGAGCCCTCGTCGCTCTGACAGCGGAAGCAGATCAGGTCGCCGTCGCTGGAGAAGTCGCAGTGCTCGCAGTGCACGACGACGTAGCCGTTACCTCGGCAGAGCTCGCAGATCGGGCTTTCGCGGTCTGTGAGCAGATCGACGGATTAGCTCGACGGATTGCCACGCACGATCTAGGATCACCGCCTGATCGTTCTGAGAAGCAATCCGATGCGACAGCGGCAGTCGCATCGGAGATTGTGTGAAGCGTCAGCGAGAAATGCGAATGCAAGCAGCAGCGAAATCAGCAGAGAGAATAGGCGGTGTGCGTGCGATACAATGGAAAAATGCTACGTGTTTTTTTTTTTTTTTTTTTCAGATAAAAATATGAGAGAAGAGTAAGATACTTTTTTAATCCGCTAAAGTTATTTTGCGAGTATTTGTGAGCATTTGCGAGCTACATTAACATCTATTCTCTTAACAGGATTAAAACTCAAGGGCTTCACATAAGAATTTGCAGTCTATATACATAATAATAAAAAAAGAATTGAATTAATCCTTAGTACACACGATTGGATCATTCATGTCCTGCATATTTTTTTGTTCCAAAAGTAGGCGCATCTGATAATTAGTTATAACATTCATATAGATACTATTTTTTTTAAATATATCACACAACCTTATAAATATTTTCCAAAGATATCGACGTATATGTAAAAGTCATTTAATAATTTTTGTATGTTTGTAATAAAAATTAATCCCGGCGCACGAATGACTCATCGTGTGTAATAAAGGACTGAAAAATTTAGTGTCCACATTTCTACCAATATAATTTCAATCATCACAGTTCACTAATCTCGATTCAACTAACTCTTCATCTTTTTCTAATGCTAAGAATTAGAAAAAGATAAAGAGTAAGTTGAACCAATTGTGAGATTAAAAATTAATAATTATTATCAGCTCATATAGATTAAAAAATTTTTTTTAATTATGAGATTAAAGTAGTTAATCCACATTGGTAAAAAAAAAAGAACATATATGTGTACTAAGAGTTAAAAATAGATTTTCACATACCCTGGATTTTTTTGCTAGGGAAAAATAAAGGTTCTAGATTAGAATGTAAGTGCGAAGACCGAAAACATCGTGTATACCAGATGATGGGAAAACATCGAATCAATGGAGAACACCGAGGCCATTCAAATTAATAAAGCAAAGCGAACGAACTTGTTCAATCCTCCGACCAGAACTGGTCGAGGTACTCGCCTCTGTCGACGTCACCTCGATCGTCAGTATCCCTGGTGGTCCATCCGCGTCGCTGTGGCTCCTGCGTTCGGTAGGATCGAGGTGACGTTATCGGCATCGCTTGCTCCAGATCGTGGTATGATCGCGGCGACGATGTCTGCGCCACGCGATCTTGATCCGTGTGATACGAGCGCGGGGAGGACAGCTTCACTGGGCTTCTGTAGGCACGAGAGGTTCCTGGCTCCTGATGCCGGTCATCTATACGTTCTTCCACGTATCTGCCGGCATGTGAGTCAGGTGTTTGCGGTCGATAGGTGCAGGTGTGCGTCTTCTGATCGCACTCGCTACACAGCAGCAAGTTCGACTTGCTGCCGGGCTGCGAGACGTAGCCGTTGCAGGTACCGTAGTAACGCTCGTCCTCGTCGCTCTCAAAAAGGTGCTGGCTCAAGCTACCGATCGACTTCGTGTCGCTAAAAACCCTCGCGTCGTCCAGCTCTGATTGATCGCCGTACCTGCCATACAAAAGCAAGCTAGATTGATTTAATAATAACAACTATGTATATTGCAAAATCTGGTTTTACAAGATTGACAAAACATAAAAGCGTGCTCTTTCAATTTTGATGAATTTTAAATATGTTGCAGTTTAGATCAAAATAAGGTATGTCTTTGCTTTTAGAAGATGAAACATATTAATTATTTTCTTTCGAAGCAAATATTATCGAAAATATGTAAAATAATTTATATAAAAATAAAATTTTCTAATAAAAAGTTGAATAATCTTAAGAGAACTTTGTAATAATAATTAAAAATAAAAAGATTATTGTAAAAAATTTTTCCTATTATTATAAAATACTCCTGAAATCATGCAATTTTTATTTAAAGAATTTTTTTTCATTTCTCATGGTCAATAATATTCATTCCGAAAGGAATTAAAATCAATTGAAGTTTCAGTTCCTAAAGTTGCATATAAGTATATATATAAAAACATACATGTCCCTTATTTTATTCTAGACTACAATATATTAAAAGCTCATCAAAATTGGAAGGGAATATTTTTCTATATCTTCGATGAGTAAGGAAGGAAAAGATAAAACAACGCAAACAGTGAGGCGTCAATATTAATAATTGCTTTAATATAATTGTAGTAATGCAATATAAAAGAAATAAAATTATAATACAAAGTCAAGGGCTCTGTGATTCAATCGATAATAATAGATCATAATATTTTATGCGTAATTAACTTTATAGATTTGTATTTTACAGCATACAATTCTAGCGTTGGCTTTTATACTGTTGATCTATTATTATTAAAAATATACCTAATAATAAGTTAAGTACCTAGTATCAGCGGTTCCGACAAGGTAGTGGCGTACCCGCTCGATCTTGGTCTTGCCGCGCTCTCGCGGCATTGTTTCTCGTTAAATAATGCTCTCCCGATTTCTCTCATTGTTGTCCTCGACGCTCGAGGTCGAGCTCGCTCCGCAAATCTGCATCTCGATTTCGGCCAACCGATGCTCGACCTCCCACTGTTGCTGGTTCAACTTGACGCTCATCGCTGCGTTTTCGGTCTCCAGGCATTTCAGGCGCTCACGGAGACGCTGAATCTCTGCCAATAGAGCCTCGTGGGTGCCAAATAGGGGTGTTGTACCTTCGCTCACCAGCTGCGTCATGCTGTTGCAAGTCATGCCTGAAACAAAATGAATGTTGGTATATAGAGATTGTTCACGTTTTTCGCAAAATTAAATTAGGAATTTTACAAAAAAGGTACATTAGTACTTTTACGTAAAACATCTGTGATGTTCTTGTGATGAAGAAATAATTAAGAATAGTGTCTAGATAGAATAGCCAGAATGTCGTCTATCAAATCAATTATCAAGATTGTAACAGTGCGTCTGTGGGACAAACAAAAAGAGAATTCAAGACCCGTATAAATGAACATAGAAATGATATTAAGCAGAGTTCCTCTAGAGTCTCCGTCATCTCTGACCACAGATTAAATTATAATCACAATTTTGATTGGGAAAAAGCCTGAATTTTAGATATTGAATTATCATAAAAGAATTATCTTAGAGATGTTACACATTAAAAAGCAAAATAAAGCATTAACTCTCAAAAAGACACGGATAGTCTAGACGACTCTTACAGTTATCTATCGAAAAAAGTGTCAAACAAACAAATAAATATAATTTTCGATGCCCTAAGAGTCCGTCTATCACCATTGTAACACTTGCGCTTAACAGAATCAGACGAACAAATAATGATGCTCCTATTTTCAGACATTTTGTAAGTAAGAGATTCAATTTTAATTTCCAAATAAATATAATTAATTGACGTAATTGACAATTTACATTTAATTGACTCATTTTTATTTTATTTTTTGACTAGGTATATTATATTGACGACAATGAATTTCTCAATTTAAACCCAATTTCCACGTTCACACAAAAACAGGAGAATCATATTTCTCTTTTAAATAAATTGTCACACACATACCAGCACAATACCATCCCATGTCGCTTTGACTGTAAGATCATGCGTTTATCTCGTTGACATCGAAACATCTTTATGAATCACTGAAGAAGGACCCGTGAGTTCCGAAACGTTCGATATTTTTGTACTTTTACATATTTTTATTTTATGTTTCTTAGTAGCATTGCAAACTGTTAATTAAAAAAAATGTTATTACCGCTCTCGATTTAGACCGTTTTTCTTTATACTTTGCATTGCAAAGAACGAGCGAAATCTAATTAATTTTTGAAACTTTGGCGCCTTTGTGCACAATCTGCTTGCAACAGTCCTAATTACACGCTAAATATACACGTGAGTTTGAAATTTTGTCTTTCAGCCCGCTGCTATAATACAAGTGAGCGCAATTATCAATTGTTGAAAGTTAGATGAGGAGCGTGAAAAGAGCAACAAAGTTCCGCACTTAACGGCGCGCCGGCGTGTACGAATGCGAAATGAATCCTCGAGCGTATTCGCAAGCAGTCTTTGTGATTCACTGATGTTGATTAATGCGCGCGATTAGTATTTCTCTCTTGGTACAACGGTTGCACTAGCGCAATAATAGAATTCGCATAGAAGATGAAGCCGCCTCTCCCGGTCACATTGAGAGCAGATACAACGTACGTAGAATTAGCATTAGCAAACTGCTAACTAATTCAGGAATTACCGCGGAGTATCGTCTGGCCATTCAGGAAACCCGAGAGTATTGTCGAGAGACTCGTCTTGATCGTGTCACTCCTCACGTCAACATTCGAATTCGGCACGGAATTGCCGGGCTCTATTTCGGGAGATCGCTTTTCCATTTTACCATACCCGGCGGAATAGCGATTACGCGTGGCGATGTTTCGCCAGTTAAATCAGTATACTGTCGATTCGTATCCGATTTGTTACCGCCCGCATCGAAATCTGTCGCTTTATTTTTGAGGGGAGGGGTATTAGCGTCATACTGCGTTTTGTTCATATACGCGCGCTTTAAACGGAAACGCTCGATTACCAGTGGAATTTCCAATGCGCGAAAACGAGGGGGGGATTTTATTCCCCAAACGACATATAAACGTCGGCAGAAACACGTTAAAATCGTTACTACCTATCGTATCTATCGGGGTTAATGGTCGGGCGCTATTTTACGAGTGGCGCCGAGCGTCGCTCGTCATTCATTATCCGCGCGATATTTCTGAATTTACCTTTTTGCCGTTTTACGACCGCCGATAAACGGCGAGCGTTCGCGCGACGCGTTATTCACGTCTGGTTAGATTTGATTCGCAATGAGATCACATGCCGCGGAATTCTAATCGACGGCGGGCGGCGCGGAGATTGCGACCGAAACGCCTGTTTGTTTATAAAGGTGCGATAAAGTTTCTTCCGCGCGCACAATACTGTACAGTTCATCAATCTTTCTCTTCTCATAATGATAAACAATTAAAGCTTATTCAAATATGACGATTAAATTTTCCAAGATAAATGAATCGCAACGATATATATAAACAATAAAATGCATTTCTAGAAATATCATGAATGATGACAATTTCCATAAAGTGTTGCGGAGAATCTGGGACCTTGTGTGTGCAAGCACATGTGTGCTTTCAGAGTCTTTTGTTCTGAAAATACCTCCGGGATGGAACTTATTACAAAACGTTCAATCGAACGTAACGACATCGATGGTTTATAGTACAAACATTACACGGCCTTTCTAAAAAAGCTTTTATGGAACGTGAAATATTGATGACTAGAAAGTGAGAGGCTACGAAGGTCTTCCTATTCTCTCCGTGTTCGCGCTTCACTTAATCGCGAAGTCTTATAGTCTATAAGAAACTACGGTTTTGCGTCAGCAGTTTGCTGGCGAGCACACCGTCGGCACCGTTATCGGCAATGATTTATATACCCCGGTATAATATCGCAAAAGAATCGCCAGTGAGGTAGCGAGATCGATGATATTTTTAAAATAAATCCGATATCAAAGTTGTCCTATACACAGGTAAAACGAATTTACGAGTTATCAAGTATGATTGGGATAGGATAAAATTTTCATCGTGTTCGCAGCATTTTATCGATGATCGGAAAATACAATTTACGTGATTACTCGACGCTGCGAGTGCTTACAGAAATATCTGCTACTTTTCATAAATCATTACATTGAATTCGCTCGAAGAACAAATTTACTTATTTCACCTATACTTTTCTACGATGTTTCTTTCTTATTTTGTTAATAAAAAAAAAAAATTATCTCGGAGACACACAATTACTATTCAATTTAGTAATTGTAAATTAATATCGTTAGTTTTTATCTGATAATTCAAATGTTCATTAATCCGCTTAAACCATCGATTTTTTGAGAGATAGCGCAGTAGTCAATTAAATTGAAATGCAGCTAGTAGTTTAAAGCCACCACCGGCAAGACCATAAGAAGATTACGAGTTGCGATTGTGATACAAATATACTACCAGATATGTAGTATATGTTGTAACGTAACAATACAACAGATAAAAGATCCATATATCTATCGTTCCCTGGCAGATATTGCATGTATTTTTTAAGCAATTATTGGAAAGTTTATTAAACGTTCGTCTAGTTACTGAGAAATAGAACTACTTAGAATTCTAATCAAGATGTAATGCTTTGCCTGCGATTACTTAAAAAGATGTGCAAAATCCGAATCTATTTGCTAAACATGAAGAACGTACGGAGTAATAAATGTATAATAATAATTTATCATTAATCTATAATTAATACATCGTTTATTATTAAGAATCTATTAATAATAAACAATAACTGGGCAGGTGCAGTCTACACTAATTGCATGTACTTTTATCAGGAAAACTGCTTCCATCACTCACCATCCAGAATGAAACTCGATCGAGTTCTCTTATCCATTTCCTATACGCAGTATTGTTACAACTAATAAAAATACAATAATACCAGGTAGTAATTCTAGACAGAGTAACTGGATGAGTGACTAGGAAAATTATACATATATATATTTCTACCAAGGGGGTCAGTATCCTTTCCCACGTGCCAGGAAATTAAAAATTTTGTGCGGAGGGGAGGTAGAAGCCTACTTTTGGTTGAAATTTCTAATGTCACATCGGGGTGAATGAGGGGAGCTTACCGGAATGAGTGGACTGCCTGCCGGTGGAGGCTTGGGTCGCGGCTGATGGCGGCGCCCTGGCCGTCTGGTCCTCGCTGCTGGGACCACTGCTGGCCCCGCTTATCGGGCTCTCCGCGCCCCTGGGCACGTTGTTCGCGTCCGTTAGGACCCCCGTGCCCGGCATGGCGCGAGGCGTCACCGGGCTCGGACTCGGCGAGAACAACGAGGCGGCCGTCGAGTACGCGTGGGTGGACTTGAGGTCGACCGGCGATATCCACATGTCCTCCAGCGATACGCGGCCCCGCGACTCCACCAGACCGGGCGTGCTCTGGCACCTACCCATGGCAACTGGAAATTCACATCTTGCTTTAGTAAAAGCGGTGATTCCATTGCGCGGGACATTGGCTTTCAGTATAACAATATTAATTATTTATCTGCATTAAAACAGTATATATCGTTGAGTATCTTTGATATTAATTTATACGCTTTGTACAGACTCGAATTTAATGATTAATGTTTCCTTGTTAAATACATAAATCTCTACAAATAACAACAGTAAATTTAAATTAAGCGTGAGGAATTACATATTCTTCTCTTTACTATAAAAATAAAAAACTGAATTGTTAAGAAAATTATTTGTTGTTACAGAACGAGCAACAATAGGCAAGAAATGCAATTTCGAAACAATACAAAAATTTAAGAGACGCGTGTTTAAGATATTTTACTATAACAAATTCTGTGTATCCTAAAAAAAAAATAAATGGTAGAATAATGAGTATATTTTCGCAAATTCACGTCAAGTTAATTAACATAAAATAGTATGCATCTGTGTTTTATTTACAGATTCCCGAGTTTCATCTTTGGTAATTTGTTTTCACACGGGCAGGTCTTTATTTTAAAAACCGTGATGGTCCAAAAAAAAAAAAAAAAGCGTTGTGGTATTACCATACCATGTCGTTATGTCGCTTTTTCATCTTTCTGGAAGTAAAACTGCCGTCGCGCATGAAAAGCTCAACCGTAGTCGTCAGAATTTATGAAATACGGGAAAACAACGAGAGCTAGCCATTTATTTAGGATATCATTCATTCGTGATGCGTGTTATCCATGAATCGTGTTTACGCACATCGTGACTGATACGATCCGTACGTGCTCTCGAATTTCCGCTTTTGAGGCGTGTTGATATTTAACCGATGTCGACAGTATTCAATAATATCAATGGTACGCCATTTCGCTTTAATGCAGATCTTTCGATCGTCGAGCATGTATGATCTTTTGACTCATTACGGGTTTCCGCTTCGCGATAATACTATGTCATTGTACGAAGACATATTAATTACGAGGGGACTTCGCTCTATAATGGCAAAAGTCCGCATCAAACAGTTCATGTTAGAATTTAGAATAGAATTCTATAATCTTACACGAAAAGGATGGTTTTGTTAAATTATTTAAAAATTCAACTAGATATAGAAAATTTTGTTGGACTATTACAATAATTATGTAGGGCACACAAATAGGTTGCTAGAATATCAAAACACTCATCACGCTTGGCACTATTGAACATTACTGTATATATAGTGCACTCTATAAAAAGAATAATTAATTAAGCATCGGATAGGTAAAAAGTCTGAGGTAAAAATCGAATTCCCTGAATAATTATTTCGATAATTCAACGAAGTTATTTTCAGATTTGCATCTAACTAAATTTTTAGATAGTTCAGCAAAACCTTTTTTTTACAAGTTGAGAGGGTTTTAAGAGATATCCGCGGGACGAAAGATGCGAGTGTGAAATAGAAAAAACTACGTAAAGCAATTAGAAATATGTTTGCGTATCGTGCTCGTAAATATTTCTAGTCAAAGGGATTTTTTAATAATCTCATGATTAATTGGTAAAACGTAAATCGTATTAACACGGATCAGTTAAATTAAAGATCCCTTCGTAATTGAATAAAGTGACCTTTAAATATCAAGGGAGGTAAATCGCGGATCAAGACGCTAATAGCGGACGCGACGGCAAGCCCAAAAAAATTGTTATCTTCGTGACGCACGAGGTATGGCGATTCTTTGATGCTATTTCAATTAGGAGTCTAAGTATAAGTTACATCGTTCAGCTCGTTTTTCTTTTTATGCTTTTTAGCAAAAGTGCCCTTCGTCGATTTGCAATCCGGGAAAAGCCGCTGTATATAATACCTTTAGATCTGTAAACGTTATATACGGTAGCAACACGCCTTTGTTCACTTTTATGTTAATTATTAGAGGGGACGTTGCACCGATAACAGCGGCGGATCGATAAGCCGGATCTTGGTCTCGGCATCGCCTACACACGCAGCTTTTACTCCTCTCCCATAACTCGCCGCCGTAACTCACGTTACGCATTACACTTATTACAGCGACCTAATTTCTCATACGTTATCCCTCATAGCAACGTGAAAGTAGGTACATTGGCTCGCGCAACGAGATGAGTGCCGAATGAAAGTCTGCCGTTTTGATAGTGATGAATGGCTCGAAAAGTTTATAAACGAAATAAATTTCAGAGCGTAAGCGTATTACTGGAAAATATACGGTGATAGACCGGCGATAGCTCGCGTTCTTAAAAGAAGCGTAGCGATATCTCTCAAGATGTACTCGAGCAGAATATCCCCTTCTATTCAACGCCGTTTTTACGACTTCAAATCCGGTGATTAACATTATAGCTTTCAGACCTTCCATCATACTTATTCTTAAAAAAAAAGAGAGAAAAAGCAAAAGTATAAACAAAGGACATGAAGAAAAATGTTTTTTTATGTTCTTTTTTTTTCATAGAAGATAATATGTCTGTTTAAAACTAAATGAAATCTCAGATTTTCTTCGGGGCTCTTATAAAGTTTACAGTATTTGCAGTGTCATTAAATTTGTCACACGACTTTCCCACTTTATTTTGTCTTTTATACTTAAAAAGGAATACAGTTGTAAAATTTGTGTTAAATTTAATACATTTCACATGTCTTTCGCATCTACCCAAATTTTTGCGTTAATTTAATATAGGATAAATAAAAATGTTAAAAAATATTACAAATATTATGCACAAAATAGAAAAAATGTAATACAAAAATGTGAAACAATTTGCAAGCAAATTATGGAACCATATTTCTTCAGTACATTTAACGTTCATATGTAATTACGTTATGTTTTAGGTTTATTATGTTAAATTAATGTTTTATTCACACATTATCTTAAAATTTACGTTTTAAAATACATTATTTTTATATTACTTGTTCATTTTATATACTTACAAATTGTGTTATTTTCAAACTAATTGTAGGAAATATTGAATATCAAATTAGCACAAAATATTTAAATCACAATCACATTATGTTAAATTAACATTCGATTACGTTACAAATTCAATATAAAGATATTATTTTAAATAGAATTTTAACACGGATACAAAATGTATATTTGTGTAGCCTCTAACTTTTCGTTATGGAAAACCCAATTTCTTCCCTTTCCCTAATTTCTTTTCCCCTGAAATTTATGGTTGAAGGGACAGTGATTTTGCAAAGCCCCTATCCGCACATATTTTGCCAGAAAACGGAAAGTATAGACCGAAGGGTACTCAGCTCGTGACAGCCTACCCATAGACCGAAGTTGATACCGCCATATCACGATATTCTGACCGTCGTTTCCGTGTGTTTCGGATCAACGAGACATCCGGAAGGAGAGAATTGCTGTGACTTTTACGGCCATTTATCTCCATCAGGGTGGCATCGACTTTCGCCGCTAAGTATCCGCCCCGTTCATTCTTCGCGCTTTTACGTGTGCTAGGAATTAGGTCACGAAAACATTTCAACATGCGAATGAGTGAATCCCGAGATAGATACAACCTCGAGGTAGAGATGACTCGAGATAGCGGTATCCGCTGTCGCGTATTTAGCGTTAAACGCGACCATCTAATTTCCATCTCACGCTTATCCTGCGTGCGCTTCTCGCATTAGGCAAATGAGACATATGAGGGAAACATGTAAAACAGTGGCGACGGATTTTTGCGGTATGCGGCACTGAATCGAGACAGCACGATTTCCCCATGTAAAAATCATTTGTGTGTGTTTTGTACATACAAAATTTAAACATTTCTTAAAATGACAACCTGAAATAAATATATTTATATTTGTAGACCGCATGTATGGTAAATTTATATATATATTATTCCAAATCAATATTGTTAATATTGATATGATCCGATCGATGTGGAAACGTTTGGTTACATTTGTTTAAATTGTTTATAATTTTTATATTTATTATTTTTATAAACGAAATTGTTTTGACTCGTAGTCTTTCTAATTTATTTGAATTTTATTCTTATTGAGCCATATTATATTTTGTGTTATTTTAAATATATTTATATTAATATATGTATTTATTTTTAAATAAAAATTCGACCGATAAGATTAAACATGTGTGAGTAAAAAATGCCATATCCAAGGCGATTTATTATGTCTTAAAAAATTGTAAATTTATACAATTTTCAGTTTAAGCCAACTTTGCGACGATTATTTGTCGGTCTTAATTAAAACACAGTCCTAAACCGAAATGGAGTAATATCACAAATTGAATTGCAAACAATTTAATATTATTGCTGCAAATAAGTAATCTTAGAAACTGCATAACTCAAATAAAATAAATGTGGCTTGAAAACTGGAAATTGCATAAATTTACAAAAAATATTATTACGCACAAAGAACCGTCTTGACCGTATATATATTATATTAGTATTTTTCACTTACGTATGGAATATATTTATTTTATATTACATTTATGCATTTTGTATAATAATATTTAAAGAAAAACTTGTAAATAAAAGATAAATTGCAAAGAATGTGTTTTATTAATATCCGGTTAAATTCTCGAATTAAGATTCTCATTTCACAACTTGCTGTTAAGTTTAACAAGATTTACGCTGGCTCATATAAAGCAACGTAGGCGCATTTCGCGTTTAAACGAGCATTGAAAGTTGTGCGCTGCTCAGGAATATATCTTTCAGAAGCTTGACCAAAGTTCTATGATCGAAAATCTTTCAAGATGTTAACGCGCGAGGATATCGAGGATTACATAGAACGGTCGCGACGGCGGCGATGCTTGAAAGGGCTCATCGAGACGAAGATGCGATTTCACTGTTCCTCGTTCAAAAGATTTTCGTCAGCGCGTGTTAGTAATAGACGTAGCGGCGAACTGAGGAGTTTAATTAATTAATCCGGAACTGCGACGAGCGCAAAGCGGCCACCTTTTGCTCACTTTGCGGTACAAGGTGGCGGAGTTCGCTGCCGCTGTTATAACACGCGAAACTTTCGAGCGCGGGCATCGTCGTGGAAACTACGGCAAACATAATACAGTCGTTTATCCTTCGCACTGCTTCGGGGATCCGTAAGAGAAAAATAAAATTGTTCCCTGTTGAATGGAGTTGTTGAGTTTCCACCTGTATACTCGCGGCAAAGGTTCAGATTATTTCCCTTTGTGGAAGATTCAAACGAGAAGTGGTAGCTTAGTTCTCCAGCGAAAAGATCTTATCAAATAATATCGAGCGAATGAAATTTATTTAACTCGAACAATTTTGTGAGTTTTATCTGATTGCCGATGAAATGTATACTCGACTTTTGCCTCAATAATTTTGAATGACGTAGACGAGAGACGGTTATAAAAATTGTACTGAAGCGTCTTTTTCAACATCGCGTGATGGTATTTGTCAGTGTCAAGTCGACTTTTTCAAAACTTTTCTGTAGAGGTTAAACCTTCAAAAACCGACTTTTCATGCGCGACAGCCCACTTTCATTAGACACTCGTTACGTTTGCAGAAGAAACGAGAAGGGATTACGCGGAGAGCACCGCGAGCGTTTTTTTCAGCAAAAATTGAGGTCGGGAAGAATATTTTGAACGACGGTTTTTCGGAAATAAGAGCGATACGAGATAGACTTTTATATCGTAAGCCCTCGAGGCAGTCAACTAGTGTTTACAATATTTTTTTGGGCGCGATGTACACTAGAAAAAAAATTTAGTGCCTTCGACAAAACTGTTTAGTTCAGGAATTTTTTAACAGCAGCCAAATATTTTGTTTATATAATAAAAAATTTAGTTCTTCTTAAAAATAATTTCTCTATTATGTAAATAATAAAAATATTTCCTTACACCAACTAAACACTTTAGTTTGCATAAAATTACAGTTTCGTTCGGTAAATTTTAAGTAAAAATTTTTATTCGATGTATTTTAACCAAATTTTCGTTGTTATAGCAAAATTTTGGTTCATGGAACTAAAAAACATTTTCCTGGTGTATTTTACATCCGTCGCGCGATCCGAAAAACGAAGAAACAAAATGGCGAAGTTCTTCAATGGAAATTATCGCTTCACTAAACTTCAACAATATTTCTTGATGTTATATTGAAATTAGAATTTATACATTGAAAGATGAGAAAATTAATATTGATCAAGCAAGTTAATAAAAAGTCAATTCTTTGCAAAGAAAACTTTAGCAGCTGTTAATCAAATAAAAACTTATCAAAGCTTGTTCAATTATATATACTTCTATCTTTATCGAAGAATGGATATATTTTTTAAAATTAGTTCTTTCGCGAATTGAAAAGTTGGAGCAAAACTTGGTTGATTTATAAAACTTCATTGATTTTAATAAAAAGTGTTCGGAGTATAGTTTGGTTTCGTTTCAATTGCAAGAAAATAATGAGTTTTAAAGTAACTATTGCAATCGAGGGTCAAAGTCTGGTCTCCTCTGGGATGTCACGCGGGGATATGATACAATATATCTGCTTCAAAGCATCTTTAACGACTATTACACTCGAAACTCGACAGTCTAGCGTTTCACAATGGTTAATTTGTTAATGCGCCGTAGCAGTGATGAGCGTATCTTGACGGAATCCCTCATTCTTGGTCTTGGTTCGAAGTTCTTCGGATGGCATCCGCACCCCGAAGAACTTACCTTGCCGAGGGCGCGTAAACTTCCGTGAGTCTAGCTATTTTAACGATGGTAACGAGGAAAGTTTCAGGCATTCGAGGCGTTTCGGTTGTGCGCCAAGCTGCTGGCAAGACACGACGCATTCGCAGTCGTATTCGTATACCTGTTTCGCGCAACTCTGCGAGAACGAGCGAATTGAAAAGCAGTTTTAAATGTATTTCCAACACGTTGGTACCAGTTTCGCGCAGATGTTAGCGCAGATCGTACGAACGATCTTCGAATCACTCGAAAAACACGCCTAAGACAGCCGTAAAGAGAAAACAAGCCGAATTACAAAAGGAAACGCGAGAGTTTCTTTCGAATGTCGATACTTCACGAGTTATCGCAGCCTTCCCGTTCGTTTAAAGTTTCATCAAATAAAACGAGAAAACGTCGTCGTAATCAAGCCGATTCGAGATAACTGTGAGAAGTTTTATAAATTCGATTTTTTGTTATCAGCTGTTAGTTGTAAAAATTTAATTTATAAAGTCCAATTCGGTTATATCTTTAAAAGCTTTTCAACTTCTCCTCGTGGAAAAATTCGAAAGTTGTTCCGTTGATCCTCGTTTCGAGAGGGGTGATCCTCATCGATTTGTTCTACCTATCTGGCGCGCCGTTAAAGAAACGTGATATAGCTGTGTTTGTATGTACTTGACGCGCGAGTATAATAGATACGAGAAAGATAGGCTCGCGACTCACCTTTCTCCAGAGGAGCTCTCTTGTATTTCTCCAGCCTCTTGACTGCGATAGCTTCAAGGCGCACCCTGGCAGCCGGATACTCCTTGAGCACGTCCCACATGTCCTTCTTGCTGAGGACGAAGAGGTCCGAGTAGCCGACCGAGCGCACGCTGGCTGTTCGCCGGTTACCTGCGTCGATGTAGCCATTTATTGGTTATCGGGATGCATCAAGCTTTCTTATGTAACCGCACCGCGATCGATCTTTCGATCATTCCGCCGTTTTACCTACAGTAGCGACCCGCTCTCATTTCCTCAGTCCGGATGCACGTGGTTCCGATTGCACGCTCGATACGTCCGCGCGCGCGCGCGCGAGCTATCTCTTTTACATCGTTTTATACCCGTACAAAAGCACAGTAATTTTGATTAATCGGGTTCGTTACGGTTCAGTCTTCTATGTTAATTGATTGCCGGGTCGCTCAACTCGTTTCTCCGACTTTTTCAGAGAGGCATTTTAATCGTCCAACGTTTGTTGGCTGATAAATTGATGGATAATAGTAGATACGAATTAATTGTCCCACGGTTTACCATATTTATCCGCTTCCGAGCGTGTGTTTTCCGCGTCTTTTTCGCGAAATAGAATGTAGTTAATTTCCGGTAGAAAAAGAAAACCCCGCAAGCTAGACCAATGAAGTAGTTTGCCCAGAATGTGATAATGACGCAGCCGAGCCATTGTTTACAACTTTAATTGGTGTCAACGATATTTTATATGCCAGCGTAAAAGGGCGCGTAATTAACAAGGTAACGAAGAGCATAATTGCTTCAGACTACAGACGTGCGCGCGAGTCTGAAACGTAGCAATAACAGAAGCTACCGAGTACAAAATTTATAAATTTCTGAGAAAGATTTAACCACTAGATAAATGTTATGTTCTGAAGTTCCGTTAATATGCTACGAATACACCCGGACCGTAATAAAAATTGTAACAATTATGCTTAAAGCGACGAGAAATTCTTCCACCGCTTGATTGAAAATTATGCTTACACTTCCACGTTGAGCCGGTAATTGTGGTATGCGGCATGCGTCTCTGTCACCGTGAGAATTGTAAATAGAGGGTCACAATTCGCGTTACGTATACATTATTCACAGACAGTTTTCGAACGCAGCCGTTCCCCCTGTTCCGCTTTTCACTCAGTTTCGAATATCGTAATACGCGCGGAATCGTTAACCATACATCGAAGAAATTTAGCGGATGGAAATTCCACTTCCATATTCCTCGGGTATCTGAATTACTTATTTCAAACGGTCTTTTCCGACGAGTAGACTCCGATATGGTATGAAGGATATGAGTTATCGAAGAGCCATTTTAACTTCTCGAAATTCGCGAGATGTTTCGGTAAAATAAAATTTTATTGCTCGAACGTTGTGTACCTATGTATATAGTATTACAATTTTAAGTAGCGAGTTTAACGAGATGCTAATTTTACAATTGTTATTCAATTGCAGTACGACAATTAAATAATTATTTTATTGTACGTTTTCGGAGGAGAATTTTGTGATTAATTGACAATTTATTTATGATAATGTGTATAAACATAGATAAATTATATCTCAGAATTCGCAAAACGTTCCGGCAAAATAAAATTTTGTTTTCCGAACGTTGTGTACTTATTATGTTACAATTTTAAGTAGCGAGTTTAACGAGATGCTAATTTTGTGATTGTTATTCAATTGCGGTACGATAATTAAATAACATTTTTATTGTACGTTTTCGACGGGGAGAATTCTGACGAATAATCAATAATTATTTTCCAAAATAATGTGTATAAATAGACGACGTGCAAACTTTACCTTATTTTCTGCTATTATACATCCTCATTTTAATAAAAGTATACCAATATATGTTTTGTTCTAAAATCTCATTGGCAAAAATTTTCTTTTATCGCTGTTTTGTCAAATTTGTCATAGATAACGTTAATATATTTGCAATGAGTAATATATATTGATACTTGATGGTGGATATACTTTTGAAGAAAGATAGTCTATTTTGCTTTTCCATCGACAATTTTTTTCTTTATGTGCACTGAAATGGTGAAAGCAAGATAACAAAATCGGCTACCTTCCTTCATGAATAAGTCAAAGCAACCAAGTTATATATACTTGATGTTTCAAAAAGTTAGCTAAGATAAAGGACACTAGAAACTACTATAATCAATTTGTACATGTGTGTATATATATGTGTATGTAAATATATATATAATTATTGATAATAATTGGTAATAATAATTTGGCGAATCCGAATGCAGGCCAATACAACCGTACGAAATCAGCACGCATTACAGAAGTAAGAATTACAATTATCAATAAGAGCCTACGTTAGGGAGTGATGGCGACAAATTGCGAGGAAGATACGTGAATGGTGCAATGAATAGTAACATGGTAATATATCGCGTAAGAATGAAAATGCTCGTAGGAAGCATTTGTAAATGACGCTCGAGCGTAACGATAATTCTCGCAGACAATCAAATCGCCTGCATTAAAGCCATATAAATAATCGTAGCCGATTTATATAAGCGAATAAATTAGTCGTTTACAAATGCCATCCCTCAGTATTATAAATGTTATAATACATAACAATTAATAGATATATGCAAATGGTAGAAGAATAAGAAATGTACAGTCCCAGCGTGACGTTGCAGCACCGATTGTGAGAGTCAAAGATATGATGCTGAAAGGGACGCGACTAAGGAACTGGATCCGAATCGATTCAGTTTTTAAGCTGTTTCTTCTAATAGAGCTACGGAAGCGAAATAGAAATTGTGAGCACGACTGATTAAAAATATGATTTCATTAAAACCTTATCGACCGGTACGCCTTGCGAGGGGCTGAATCACCGTCTGCTATCTCATTTATACGATTGACACACTTACTATCTATGTATTTTCGAATAAAAAAAAAAAGAAGAATCATTTCGATACGTTGTTGAACGATGATTCGGTTCTGTATCTAATCTTTTTAGCCACGTATGCTTCACTTAGAAACGTGAGTGTCGCCAAAAATTCACGATAATCCGCACAGCCGTGAGCTCTAGGCGCCGTAAAAAAGATCTTTCAATCCTGATATTTTACGACGTACGTCATAATTCGGTCGGTCGTCCCGGTCGATCGTAAATAAAAGAAAAAATAAAATGGAGTATAGTAGCCGTGAGAAAGACTGAAGAAGAGTGGAGACTAAAGGGCAATACGTGTCACGGGCCTTATTCGAGATGCGTCGACGTTCTCGCAACGACGGACTCCGCCGCGTGTGTGCTTGCGGAATTCAATTAACTGTTCCTGTTTACTAGATAAGCAGAGTATTATAAAAATTCTGACTCAATGCAAACACAATACGAAATTCAAATGATACGTTTGCACGACTGAAAACGCCCGCGGAATCCACGGCAATATCCTGGCAACGATCGGCACTCTGTTATCTATGAGTAACAGCGTATGAAAAGCTTTTTACACTTTCGTGAGAGACAATATATCGCCCGGTTTTGTAGATACAATACGTAGCGGAGTTATACAAGACTTGTGTTCACTAAAAATATAAGCCGGCGTAGCCGCCGGCATAAATAAGGGGGAAATTCTTTATCAACTATTTTATAAAAAAAATATAGAGTAACGCAAAAGATTAAATTCTTTTAATTTAATAACGGCGAGGATCGAGGCTCTGAAAATACGAGGAGAAAATTCAATTTAACCTAGATTAAGATCACTTAGATGGGGGCCAAAACGCTGCTCTTATTAGCCCGAAGTTTCTTCACGGCGAATGCGAATGCAATGTTCGTTCGGGAGAAGAGTTTTCTAAAAGAAATTCGATAGGAGAATAAAGTTCGTGCCGTCTCCGAGGCGACTCTTTATACGCGTTGACGGACGTTGGACGCTTATTTTTTTTTCATCTCGACGAGTCATTCGAGAGGGAGTCGGTCCTCGAAAACAAGAATGAGACCCGCCATCGATCCTGCGCGGACGGCTCTATCCTGACAGGCGAAGGCAATAGAATTGTTGATGTAGAGAAATTGGAGCGATATTTTGCATTGCCAATTCTTTTTTTCGCCCTCGAGCGGTAGCGAAGTCCTGAAAGACGCACGAGTGGATTCGCGGTGCTTTGAAAATCGGTTTTCGTATCACGTTCATTAAATTGTGCAAAAAAAAGATGTAAGCGGGGAAAAAAAATTTGTCCTCGTTAATTCTTTTGTCAAGGTGCGCTCGACGAATTCGAATGACTATTTGAGTTTGGTGTAGTGTGTTGCTGTTCTGCTATTTGATATATTGATAACAGTACGCGCGTGTTATGTAATTAATTTATTGAAACCTATTTGTGTCGATTAATTATTAACTACTTGTATATATATTTTTACTTTTCTATTAAATATTTTTTCTATTTTTTTTATACTCTCTAAATTTCTTGATTTGATCTAATTTTAATTTCACATTTAAAATGAAAACGATGCATTCTGTAGAAGGGACATGTAAAACTTCTAATTCAAAAATCAAATTTTGCAGTAAATTTGTGGTGATTATACGTGCCATAAATTCTGCGATAAATCTAATGGGAAAGTATCCTATACTGCAGCCGGCAAAATTATCCACGTAGGGTAGGATAATGCAACGTCAATCACAGTTAAATTAGATAAAGCTCGTCTTTCCGTGTATTTGAGAGAATATAATATCACGACCATGATAACAGAGACGGTAAAACTAGTTTAATTCCCTGCTCATTTATTTAATATTTGCGTAAATCCAAATTTACGTTTAACTGTGTTTAAAATATATTTGAAAATTACGCTTAATTTTGAAAGCAATCTGAAATAAGTTTTTAATAATGCAATATTTATCGGTAATATTTCTCTTGCATGCAGATTGGGATAGTTACTGAGAAATTTGAAATAAATGTATTGTCGACATTTTTGTTAATAATAACAATAAGTATATCACTCTGAATTAAATAATAATGAGGCACACGTAAATATTATTATATAATTGAGAAAACAATAACGTGACATCGATAATAATACATCGATATATAAATTAGTTTATATATATACGGAAGTATATTCCATTTATTATTACAAAAACTCTTATTGAAATTGTAATCAGGAAAAAGTATATAATTATTATTAAATACGATATCTTTATAAAATTATCTCGGTTTTTTTTTTAGATTCGTAACTATTTATTCATTCTAGGGACCGAAGAATTAATATTCATCGAAGCTAGGGGAGTGATAATTAATATTCGTATTAGTTTCTTTTGTAGATTAGTAATCGATGTATGTATCTGTTCACCGCGCGGGCGTCGTTGCGTGAACGTCGATCGCGATTAAAAAGGTGAAAATCGACAAGTGGGACAAGTCTGCGAGAAAAAGAGAGAGAGTGAAAAATTGCTAGAGAGATCGTTTTTAGATCGGCTCATACCGGCTCGACGGCTTGCCCTCTCACAGAGTGGTAAGAACGTGAAACGTGAAAACGTGATCGTGAAAAACGAAGGGGGACAGCTCACGGGCCCCTGGTCCGTTTGGAATATTTACCGCACTCTTTACCTGCGGTCCCCATATTGAGAATGCTGATCTCCCCGAAGTAGGAACCCGCCTTAAGGGTGGCGAGCACCGTCTTCCCGTTGTCGGCTACCACCTGCAGTCGGCCCCTATTCACTATGTACATCTCCTTTCCCACCTCACCTGCAATCGCACAAAAGCGACACTTCAATTAATTATTCCGTTAGTCGCCTTTATCTTTGACTGTAACTTAATCAAGGCGTTTAAGTATCTCAGCGACCTTATGTGTGTACAATCCCCGATAATAAAGCTGATATAAAGGGACAGCGGTACAAGTCGTATTTTCCTTACTTCGAGGAATAAAAAGTTTTGTGAATATATTTAACATAAATTTTAGCTCTTTTTGTGTAATCTCTCTTTATGAGTGTATAAAAATAATAAGCCGTCGGTGCCATTGGTCAAAGTAGTCGTTATATTTTAAGATATACAAGAGAGCCTTTCTTTCTTTTATGTAATAACGTACTCGGTTCTTCAATCCGATTTTTTCTTCAACATTAACTACGACGTATTTTTCAGAGTAAGAATAAAAACGGAGGAAAAAAAGTAAAATAAGAATAAGAGCTGATAAATTTTATAACAAATATATACAGAATTTGTTTGTCTCTTTCTAAGATATGACAAGTAGAAAAAATATTAATTTATTGGCATTAAAAGAACACTAACCTTAAAATACAATAACATTTCGTCGAAAGTAAATTTGTAACTTTTCGCACAAAGCAAGATCTATTGCACGATGTTTTAGATTCCTTACATTGAATACCTCGATAGAACAACATTTATTAAATTATATGACAAAATCTTGCATAAAATTTGTATATTGCAATTTTATACAAGTATATTTACAAAAACAAAAAGAAACTCTGATCTTTTCTAAACTATATTGATAACCATTTATGCAATTAATTTCTATATAGTATTTTGACAAAGTATTGGTCCGATCTTTGTTCGGAAATATTCGTCGAGCATTTGAAAATAATTGGATTATGTGTTTATATTTCTTTAATGTGATCATCTTCAATTAGATTTTGTCCAATTTATGACAAATAGAAATTTTTTCCAATTTGAAAATTAATTTTGATAAAATTATTGAGTTATGGCGAATTATCTTAATGCTATTGGAAAATTTTAAGTTCATGATGCTATTGTGCAATATTTTCATATCGGGTAGGTACTATATGTATGTTATATGTACATTATATATTATGTATGTGTATGTTATATAAATCATATAGAATCAAATTCAATCTCGATAAAATCCTGCTATACAAATTTTTTTATTATCCAAAACTTGGACTACATGCACTTTATATTCCTTATATTGAAAATAACTTACGTGTAAAATTTTAGTTAAATCGAAAGCAGCGATTATTTGGAAATAATCCAATTATTAACAAAAATAGCTTATTTAAAAGATTGATAAATAAAAATAGTAAGAGAAGCGGCAAAATCCTTTTTACATAAAAACCTTTATATGACATGTCATCTTCCTATAGTACTAATGTATAACACTAATGATGGTAAATGAGATTAAATTGAAACCAAAATTATATTACTATATAAAAAAAATAAAAAGGAATTTTTTAATCAATTTTTTAAATATAAGTAATATATATGTGAATCTGTATTGATTATTGATAAAATAGATGACTTTATAGGATTTTTTTAAATTAATGGTCTCTTGCGTTTGTTGCAAAAACGTACTTGCAATATACATTTTTACGTGATTACTAATCTTCTTTGCTCAATTTTATTTTTATTTAATATTTAAAAATTCTGATCATAATAAAATTTTACATTCATAAAATTATATTAATAGAATTTGTCAGAATTACATTTTAGAAATGTCATTTTATATTGAATAAGTTAACGCATAAAAAATTATACTTTCTCTTTTTTCAGACTCTGAATCATTACCTTTTTTAAAAGATATCAAATGTCTTTTCATACCTCAGAGATGGCAACCCTGTCTTAAAAGATAGTACAAAAGAGCGCAACAGGAATGACCGTCATTTGTCCGGCAAGTAGTAACCTTCAGCTATAATTCCGACCTTAATCGCGCGATGCAACGACGGAAATGCGCGAAGAGGGTGGCCACCTATCAAAGGGGAGATATTACTCTCCGCATTCCTACGCGCACATGGCGGTCATTCCGTCGGTAGTGAAAAGAAACCCCGCCGAGAGAATAAAGTGAATGGAAGGCAAACGATCCGCGGGGAAGACGATTCGCTTTGGCAAGATAAAATTATTCTTCTGACCGCTTATGGATCGAGAACAAATACTAAATACGTCTATAAAATAGCGTAAGCTTTTATTTGTACACAATCTACGTCACGAGTATTCGGAGAATTTCTGTAATGCGCTATAAATAATCAAAAAAAGATAGCAAAGTCGTATTTTTCAGCGAATTCCGTTCCGACTCGGTTTCTCGATATTCGAAAGAATAACTGCTTCCTGAATATAATTGACATTTAAACAATCGTAAACTTCCTATATAAGTAATCGGTTTATAAAACAAAACATGAATTAAACAAAAAAATTACGTTCCGTAATATTCGAAGGTTAAAATAAACTAAGAAATCCTTTTTATGACATAAAGAGAAAAACAAATAACCTTTTTTGACGATATTGAATTCTGCTATCCATAAAAGAAATAGATTTTGGAGAGGGTGTGTTGAATGGCGGTGTCAGTCGTTAGAATTTACGAGCCGTTTCTCTATGCAACTGGACTACGAAAGTAGTTACGTAGACAGAGAGAGAGAGAAAGAGAGAGAGAGTGGCTCGTGCTTCTTTCTATCACGTTGATAACGAGCACGACAGTCACTTTTTCGGTCGTAAAATAAAAATATTCGCCTACCAGGGACGGTCTCCGGTAACGGAGATGGCACATAAAGGGAGAGAGAGAGCGCGAATAGTCATTTTTCACACCCATGGTACATCGTTTGGCATGCTTCCAGCACTGCGTGCTTCCATAAGCAGGATACGCCGAATCCGGGGAGGAATCGTATAGGAACAGGAAGAAGGTCGGTGTCTAGGGTCCTCCGTGCCCTCGGGAGACTGTAAATGGTGATGAAAACGAGCAAAAGTCGACTGCTAACAACGTGACATCTAGCTATATTTTTTTTATCTATAATTTACAACAATAATTTTTTCTCGTTAAAGTAAGATTATGTATGGAACACACACTTCAATAAGCAAGAAACAGTTCGAAACATTTCAGCAATATTGCAGCAACGTTATAGTATAGCGTTGTTACAATGTTGCAGAAAGATTCCAAAATATTTCTAGCTTACTTGTACTCGACCTAATGATTTCGAGTATCCTGCGTCGGAAGTAGCCGCTGAAAGAAACGATGATTAGGCGATTTACCTTTGCGGCAGATGTAGTCGCCAGGTGAGAAAAGAACGGGCCGTAATCGCAGCACCAGCTCGCACAGGAAGCCAGCCTCTGTGTTTTGGAAGATCTCGACCCTCCTCAGCGTGTCCAGGTGCACGTTTATCGCGATTTCTGCCTTCAGCTTATCTGCGAAAAAGAGAAAATGATTGCGGAGTGTAAAGAGAGGGAGAGCCTTAATTGTGCACAATGGAGGAAATATCAGGAATAAATATTAAGAGTTCAATCTGTCAGGAATCATATATCGCGACGTAACCAATTTCTTTGACAAGTAGAAATCTTAATATTTATTCCTGTTCCTAGTATTTCTCCTATTGTATGCAGTCTAAAAATCAAAGTAATAAAAAGGGGGAAAAGAACAGGAAAGAATCCGAATCTGCGAATCAATTTTCGATAAAACTGTTCATACTCTTTTGCCGCGTAGGACGTGTTGAAAACGCAATGTGTATATATGGTCGAGGCAAGTCAGTATAACGTGTAAAAAGTGTGTATCTATTTTTAATTAACTTACAATTTCAAAAATTTACACAATGTACACTTTTCACCCTTATTTTCCTTCTATTATTTTTATATACTTTCCTCTCTCTTGATACTTAAAATTTTGCAACGCGCGCGGTGAAATTTTTGTGCGCAACAATTTACATCGCCGTACAAAACGGAAGTCGTTGTGCGCCAGAGGACTGTTTCTATTGCATTGCACTGCACGGCAACTTCATTCGAAACTTCAAAGTGTAAAACCATTCCGAGAAGAAAAGATGTTTTTATCAAAGTGGCTCATTAGCATGAGAAACACTTTTCGTTCTTATCTAGAAAAGGTGAAAAATCCCTGTTGCAATTAGTTAAAGTAAAAATAGTCAACTGAAGGAAGTTCTTACATAAATCAATATATGTGCGTGCATGGACCGTGATATATTCTTTATAAATTAATATTATCTCTTAATGTTATTTCGAAATTATTAATAATTCCATACAACCTCAATAATAATTTAGAACAGTTTCCATTGTAAAGCGGAATGTATCTGATTTCAATATCCGTTGCGTTCTTTTCGGAATATGTATAATAAATAAAATATATTTATTATTATAAATCTCTTATTATATTTATTAATAATTATTTGCTGTTTAAACCTAATTATTTTTTAAATGAAATAATAACAATTAAACTTTGCAACAATCTTTTATATTTTTATGCAATTACTTGGTAAAAATATTATATTATATAATAATTAATATCAATACTAATATTAATAAACAAATATACTTTATTCAATGCCTATTGCAATATATATTAGATTATATAATTAGTAATGAATAATTCTTGTGCAAGCTAATAGTAGTTTTGTAAAATAAACATTTATTGATTTGGTATTATTTCCCACATAAATCTTTAATTACCAGGACAAAGTTTAATATATTATTACTAATGTTACTATTGTTGTTGAGATAATTATAACCGAAATGCACCAGAAATTGGTAGTTAACCCAGAAGCATGTCGACCGTATAAGTACGCAATACGCTACGATGTTACTATTGTTATTACGGCAATGCAGCTGCGTAATTAGCACTAAGTTCCGCAAATTAGCGTTAATTGTGATTATGCAAGCTGTAGCAAGTATCGGTGGCGCGTTAGTATTTTTCGCTTTTCACGTCAATTTTATCGCCGATCGATGTGTCTCTTTTAATAATATTAACGCGTAATGTAGCCTAATTATCGTCTCTGTATCGACATAATCCGATTATTACTGCCGCGCAAAAATGTCCCTACCGATTGTTTTATTACGCATGTGAACAGTATTATAGATTATTTCATTATTTTATTATTTTATTAGAAGAAAAATTTTTCAGGCAACGTACATTTCATAACTCGACAAAATAAGCTTGAAAAAGAGATCAAAGATGATAAGATATTTGATATTTCGCTCATTTTACGTCGACACCCTCTCAAAGATGTAATTTGAAATTAAAAAAGTACTTAATTTATAAAAAGCGTCCAAAATATCCAAAGTAATTATTTGCCGTAGGAAATATCAATATTATATAAAAACGTTTTGATTTCGACGAAGTAAACTTTAAAATAGAATGATACGATTTGATATTTCACTTTGCAGAAGGATCTCTTAAAATTGTAATTTGAAATTTAAATATTTAATTATAAAACGTTTTTTAAATTTAAATTCGCTGGGAAATGTCAGTATTATATACGGAGACATTTCAGTTAATATCTCCGATATTATTTCTAGAACTTTATCGCTCGCTTTGTAGCCGATTAAATGACATATATATATGTGAGTGTACGAAAATCTTCACATCGTAATGGCCTACAATTTTTCATTTTGCACTAATATTCAATTTCCAACTCCTTGTTATGTCGTGCATTACACTTGGAGCTTTACAACTCGCGCCTTATAGCGGGTTTATTGCATGAGAAATGCGCGCCATTCGAACGAAACGATTTTCAGGATGTTGTCCGGACGTTCCCTGCTCTTACTCTCGTGGAAACTCATTTGAAAAGCGCATTCCGCTTTTGCGGTAATAATACCGTTGCTCCTCGGCCATTTATTCCCTCTTTAACATTCTGCTTTCGTACACTATGTTATGTTAACTACGTCTAAATTTCGATTCTTCCTCCATTAAATAAGGGGGACAAATACGAGTTGGAGAACGAATTATTACAACGGATGGATGAAAAAAAAAAGTATGAGATAAATTTTTCTTAGTTTGAGAAACAAAGGGACTCGTGGAAGAGCTCGTGGTTAATGTAAAAGCCAGCTGCTTTATTATGGAGTTCTTTTTCTGTGGTTATAAGCAGAGCGATTATAAAGAAGTCCCTTAAGAAGCGCAAAGAAAACAATTGTAAATTTTACATAACGCTGCAAAAGAATGCACGCTCTACGCGGAAATATAAAGAAAATTCGTCGATATTTTCTCGAAAGCGAAATAAAACATTTTTTTTCGACAGTATACTTTGAGAGAAAAAAACTGACAATTTTCTTCTTAGTGGGAGCTTGACTTTGCGTTAAGCACTCTTGTATATATCTCGTGCAATAAATTTCAGCGTAAGTCTTCCTGTGTTACCCGGTGTAGCCCGTGGGTCTCCGTTTCTTCCAGTTTATTTGCTTCTATACACACTGCGTTTTATATTGCATATATAGTCTCTTTTATAGTGCGTCGCGAACGATAGAATCATTATTACGTTGCTTTACTAGCATTTTAGTGGGGAAAATTCCCAAGAAAAATATCGTTTCATTCCAATAATCGGCTCGGAGTCGTTTTTAACAATTGGTTCAGAAACACATTTCCTACATTTACGCATTTTTTAATACTTTACGCAATAAGCAATAAAAAGTGTTATCGAGTTTATGAAGGAAAAAGACACTCGTATATCAAGTATCAATATAATCACATTAATATATATATATATATATATAATATGTTACTAAAAATTAGAAAGAGGTCAATAAAAATCTTATTGGATCGTACATTTGAAACTCAAAAAATAGAAGGTAGGAAACCCTGGCCATAACGGTCAGAGCTGAATCTTTTATCGCTTAATTAATTCAATGTAAATGAATATATATTATACAATATGTACATGCATACCTATCATGATAATAGGTAATAAATAAATTTATATGTTAAACATAGGAATTTAATGTCGTGCTATTATAATGGTAATATACTCATTCCTGGCACAACATATACAAATTGTTTTCCTATTTATTAAGCTAATTCTACTGACGCAAATTGTTAACTACGTCACAAGGAGATTTAATGAGGGTGGAATAAATTATAATTTTCGGATAAGTCGGGAATTTTAACCTGCACTTTTATCTCATCTCCCAGCGAAAATTCACCGAGGACCGTTTACTCTTGCGCGGTTTGCATTAAGGGGCGACGTCGACAACCGTACACGCAGTCTGCTTACGCGTCGCTTTGCTCGCATTTTAGTTTGCGTATCCTGCCAACGCGGTTATGAGATCAAATGTTTCTCGTGAAATTATATACGCTAACACCAGCGAAAGGCGGCGATATCGTTTCGTTGCTCGTAAACACCACTCCCGCAATAACTTGCACTTGCTGTTATTTGACTAATAAATTGCAGTTAAAAATGAAAAGCTTTACTTGGAATCTGCGATGGACGAAGTTACATTAATTACACGTGCATTAAATTACACGTTCGCGAAATAGCTTCGTCTAGCCAGCCCTGCATAGATTCAGCAGACTTATATAAATATCGTAAAGTTACGACCACGACGTAACGCCGGATTTTCATATATCTCACGTTTATGAAAGTAAATTTGCGTCCGCATCTCTTCTATATTGCGCATTAATAAGGAAAATTACGGGGTGAAGAGAGAAGATAAATGATTCATATAAAAATAACTAATTACGTCTGTTAATTACATTTCTCAGCTTTCATAAATTACTTATGTTTAAAATAACGATACACAAGCGTGTTTTCCGTTAAAAAAAGAAGCTTCAAGTTCGCGTGAATAATATTCACTTCGACTTATGTAAATGTATCTGCTCAATTTTTTTAATCTACATTGTATAATAGTTTCTAATTATTTTCTAGCCAATTAAATGCCATTTATTCGTGTTATTTTGACATTTGTATAGGTATAAGTGAAACTTACCTGGGAGACAACTCACTGCTTTCTCTTCGTCGGAGCACTTCTGCGTCAACCACAAGTAGTCGAACCACTTGATAACTTTAACCTGCAAATGATTCGGTACTCTCCTCATCCGCATGTAAGTCTTCACGCCATCCAGCTTCGCTGCAACCATCAATATTTATTATTAATAAAATGTACATTCTCAAATAACAGCAAACAATCGTTTAATGCCCGCAAAGATTCTAATTATTCTAATTCCATTTCTTAATGTTGCTACGTTAACATGCAACATCTGACACACAATCGCTTACGTTGCAAATGAGATATTAATTATCCTGGCTAATTATGTATATATGATACCGTTTCCGGTGATATATAACGTTTCTGATGCAAACTAATTATCATTTAAGCATTCAAAATCTCGCGTGAAACCGTCCCATTTGTTAATTCGAGAATGTGATAATACGTCATTATACAAATGAAATGTTCGATGATTATTAATCGTCGCGGTCAATATTGGCGATTAAAGTTGATAAAATTATACGTAGCTCTCGGTCTCGCGTGAATTCGCAAACTGAATGATTCAACGAATAAACGCGTTATCAATATAGGATTTTGACCAACCAAAGAATTAAATTTTTTATAATTGGTTTACAATTTGGAATCGTAATGTAAAATCGGTTCATTAACGATTATTATCGAGATATATTTTCTGTCCGGTCTAAAAACTCTTCATTATTTCTACTTTATCGAATCAAGTATATACTGATTGTTATTATAAATTAACAATATGTACATCGGTATAAGTTAATAGTAAGTTTTCTCTGGCGTACTTATATTTCTCGCAGGCAATTTTTGATCAAGGCAAAGACCGTATTGCCGCAGTTATCAGTTAATTGAAACGAAAGAAGACAAAAAGAATTCTCTCTCGCGCGGTTCCCATTCTTTCTCATCTCTCCGATGAGGAAAGCATCGATGGGATCGGTTAATACAGCGATATTGTGGCATATCCGCCGTGCAATCGCTGCACAGGTCGCAGATCAATAATAATGCAGCGAAATGGAAAACTAAGATATGGCTACAATTTTACGAGGACCCATCTTGGTCCTATATATTCATACGAGCGTGACATTCAATTGCTGAGGTAGAATTGAAAATATCTCATCGGAATATCGCTGAATATATTAACGAGTAAAAGATATAATGTCCGAGATATTGGAAGAGATGTAGATTTCTTAGATTCCTCAGATTTCCCTTGAAAGAAATTTAAATCTTTCACTATTAGACGACAAGTCAATTCAATTCAAAATATATGACACATTTCAATTAAATAAAAAATTTAATTTATTAAGAGTATTATCCTAGTAAAAAATAATTTTAATTAATTCAACGCTATAAATATTAAACACTTTTAACGAAATAAATACGTCATACGGATTTAATAAAATGTTAGTTACTTTATTAATACACTGTGTTACTAAATTAACAAAATTATTTTCAATTAGACTAATACTATTAATACATTATTTATTTCATGTACATTCATTTTAATTAGAATTAATAGCAATATAATGGACATTTTAATTATTGCTTCTTGTGTGTATATTATAATATTATACATACATTCAGCACAAATGTATGTACGTAAAATAAAAAATTTGCATGGAATTGTGTAAGGAACGGCTCATACGTGCCTGTCGTGCCAAACTGATTTGATGATAGAACGTACAATTTTACAAGTACTTTTACGACATATATACTTGCACTTAAAGACACATGAAGCGTGCACGTAGCAGCTTCAACTAAACTTCTTGATGGCATTGAGTAAATGTTTCGACAATTTTGCTACGCAAAGCAAAATGCACTCGCGTCGAATTATGTGAAAACTCAGTATAAGTTTGCAACGCCGACGTAATATGGACGTTTGAAAGTGTGTAAAACTGAAACTGTAGGAGAATTATGCTCAGATTTCAACGTAGATTCATCTCGAGTCGTGGAGAGAAGACATTATTATCAGATTCACGTCGCCAGTGTCCGTTACGTTCGGAGAATCTATAAATATGGATTATGAGGAACGAAGAATGCGTATCAAGAAATGAAACGTCAAACTGTCTCCGAATGCCAATTGCTACCCAAGATATTCAATCGATATTCAATCGAGCAGGCAAAGAGCAATGGGACCAATGAAGAGGATAACGTATTTCTTTGTTAGATTACCTATCGAGTCATTGTGCCGATGAATATATATTGAAATGCATATCTTCCTACATCAATCATATCTTGCGGAACGTCCTATTTATTTGGAAGAACTAATTTCTCATGCAGTTTGTCGAGCGGAATATTAACTGTTACTTTTAAGTACAGTCTTTCGTTGACTTGACGTTTGTATTTTAAACATAAAAAAAAATTGCGTTACTTGATTATAGAATGTCGCTTTGCATTAAATTAAATAATTTTTATATGAAATTATTGGATATCTCGTGGATTTTGTAAGGTACACGATTTTCCGTTTATCCTGAGAACCTATACGTTTCCAAATTTCGCTGGGTTTTTTTTTCCATTTTGAATGCTTAAATGTTAATGCACGCCCGCGGCCCGAGAGTCCGCAGTGCGGAGTTCACTGCAGCGATCTAATTTTGTCGTATGGATAGCGAGCAACGGGGATAGTCGTCGTTTCCATCGCCGATCTATCCCGATATACCTACGAATGATCAATTCCAGATACTTCTCGGACTCGATCCAGGCAGGATTCCCCGCGAACCGATCGACAAACGTAATCCGGAATTGACCGAAAATGGGTATAACGGGGACGCCGCCGCCGGCCTGGCTTCGCCTCGTCTGACTGACAAGGAAGAGGGGTGGTTTCTATCGGAAATGGGCTTCCGACCGACCGACAGCCGTGCCCATTTCGCCGGCGCAATTTAACTTACTCCCCCGCTTTTCGCGCTTCTCTCACGCGGCTCGCGTCTCGTAGCCAGGATTCGTCCCGCTGGCTGGCAATTCGGAGGAACGGAGCATAGACCGATATTGATAATATACAGCAGAACGGCCCGATTCGGCCGACACGATCAAAGGAGCGAGAAGATCTTTGGCCGCGATCCAGACGGCACCGTTCACCCGCTGCATCTCCGATCATTTTTCCAACGGGTTCATCGAACCGCGTTTGAATACGGACGTCGTCGGTTCGCAAGAAGCACCGACGGAAATACGCTCGGAAGGACGATGTCCTTCTTGGAACACTTTTGCGCATATGCAGTAACACGCGAGGTGGTCGAAATATGCGTGAGGGTGGTAGTCGAATATTCTAGAAGAATTTCAAAAGATGATTCCCCTCATTGATTAAAGACGAAAACTTCATATTATTATATGTCTTAGTTTTAAAGATATATTTAAAATTAAAGGAAAAATTTTGTTTCTTTCAAAAATTTCGAATACTACTCAAGCTCTTTTGATGAAATATACAAGTCATAATAATTCAACTGATTTTTGAAATTTTTCCTTTAACTTTGACATCCTATATCTTTGAAACTAAGTTTTGGACATATATGGTTGCTATATAAAGTTTTCGTCTTGATTTAATGTAATTTACACGCACAATTAGTGGAATTATCTTTTAAAATCTTTCAGAATACTTAACTACCTTTCTGTATATATACATATATCTTCTCCATAACAAGGTTTCAAACTTGTGCAACGTCAACGAATTCACTTCTGAATGTTACACACAGTGTAGAAAAATATAGCTCGCGCTATTATCCTTCTTTAAGCTACATGAAAAAAAAAATTAAAAAAATCATTTATAATATTAAAATTAAAAAGCTTTGAATATTATTATTTCTTCGATAAGTTTAAGTCTTCTTTTACGTTATTTTTATATTTATTCATGTAGCATTTGTGGCAAAATCTGTGCAAATACATTTAAATATAATTGTAATATAATATTCTTTTCGTCGCTATATATAATATTCCATTGCTAGAATTATTATAATTTAATATAATAAGTAATATTATATTAATATTGTATTATAATGTAATCGTTTATAGTATTAATTTCGAGTCACTGAGTATTAAAGTGTAACGCTTTAGTACTCAGGATCTAGAATGTTCGTGTTCCCCCTCAGTGATCTCCAAGAAATAAAGAGGCGATGTTAAGTACGAAAGTGAGAAACGCACGTGCGTCAATGCGGGAACGAACGTAAAATTCTACTGCACTACCGTTGCTAACGACGGAACTTTCGGATGTTTTAAGGGTTAATGGAGGGCATTCGCGGCTTGGTGCCAGTACCGAGATCAAAGCGATAATTTCTGGCTCGTTTCCAACTCTTGATAGAAGCTGAGTCACGTTTATTTCGCGGCAAAGGGACTCGGTTCTACGACGACAAATAGTAGGATGTACTTCGAGAATGATCGTACCACTGGAAAAGAATTTAAGTGGATTCTATTATCTCTTCATAGACATCGTAAAAGTTTCGTGGCACTTTATCATCTTACGAGAGAGCGGAAAATCGAACTTTGAAGCTTCAGGTAAAGTTAATTTTCAATTTGCCGAGAAATCGACATGCTAAAATATTAAACAGCGGGATGTCTATTGACGGTTCAGCTTCGTGAGAATGTGTGTGTATAAACGACGCGAACAATTCGTCTTCTTCCTCCTCTCAAAAAATTTGTGATGGCTTGGCTTGAAAAATCACTGTTTTCTCTTTCGGACGGTTCTGGTCGTCAGCTTCGATCCCTAAACGACACGCCGACATTGTCTGTCCGAAGGCGCAACCTGAAACTGACAGTCGCAGACGAGGCTCCCGAAGATCGATGGATCCTCGAGACGCGGTCTTAACGACCTTGTTCCATGTTACCGATAGCTTCTACCGGAACGTCGTTACTTTCCTTTCAGTCCACTCGATCAAGGCACTCCCTCTAATGAACGGTGTCTGTAAATAGTTTGCACGTAATAAAAGTAAAGACACTGTCCATGCTGTTCTTATAAATCATTGCCGGCGATGGAAAATTGTGACCGTTATATTCCTATACGGTTATCTCTGCAGAGCGAAAATTCTATTCAGCCTGCGTATTTTTTTTTGTCACAATACTATTTCTGAATCTCTCTCTCTCTCTCTCTCTCTCTCTCTCTCTCTCTCTCTCTTTTTCCCCTCGATTCACCGTAT